AAATGTGATGATGAGTTTTTGAAAGACAGAAGACCAGCTGGCTGATATCTTTACAAAGCCCTTGAGTAATGAATGCTTTATTAAAAACAGATTGAGGCTGGGAATGCACAAGATCACCTGATTCCATAACAAGCTTGCACAAAATCTTCCAGTTGATTATGTTAAGGAGGGCAGATATCTATACTTGTTGTAATGCTCATCATTTGAGAATTCACTTTTGGTACCTTACTGCAGGTACACACTCATGTCATGTTAGCTAAAGGGAAGATTTAACCATACAGGCAGGGCTATATACTAAATGGGACCTGGTCCGCACAAGGTTATTATCACGTTTGCTACATTGTGTGTTTGTCAACGGTCACTGCCACATGTTCCTTACCCATTCATTGCGTCAGTTTCAGACATCTTTTCACTTTAAATCCAAGAGTCACTAATATTCAGGGACTTGATACCCCTTATGCTTAAATACAATGAGTTTTAGTGAATCCAAACATCTTAATCTCTTTCTAATGTCCTTCTGTGATTCACTACGTTTTATAAATCGTCTCTTTCTTCTCATCAAAATGACTAACTCTTCTTTATCTTCAGAGCTTTCTATCTCCCAAGAAATTGAAAACCCCAGTTCATTCAATTTCTCCATTCCTCTCCTGGAAGAGTCCCCTTCCACACCAGTTTGCAGTGCTGGTGAGACGGGTGAATCCATCACACATCATACTGAAGTGGTGGCTTCTCCTGCACCTCCATCTGGGAAAGTTTTACCTTGCTTGCCTACGCTGATTTTGTCCGGTGAAAAATCCCAAAACTTAGAGGCCCAATCAGTTGCGAAACCAAGTGGTGATCTTCCCACGGAAGAAGTAGAAGTGGTTTCTAAGGCAGTGTCATCTACGATGTCAGAGCGATTGTTTGATGGAGATTTACCTGAGGGAAGGGGCCCTAAGTCAAATATTCTAGCAGCATCGGCAAAATTAATGGTCGTACAAAGTTTGGCCTCTCTCAGAGGAGAAGCTCAACCAACTTTGTTGGAAAAGGAGTTGAGGTCACCGGAGCAGGTCCCACACAGTGTTCAACCTGTGTTTGACCAAACTCCTAAGTCATTTGACGTTGCAAGTGAAGAAGAGGAGGAAGAAGAAGTTCCTTTGAAATGGAGTAGGAAAGGAGTTCGCGGTGCAAACTTCACGACAACAGGTGTCTCAGATCTAGAGGGAGTCAACATTGTTCCTGACACCGACCTCAACAATGAGCCTACTGAGTCTGCAAAAGAAAGGAAAATAAAGGGGAAAGGAAAAATGGTTATGTCCTACACAAAGGGGGACAAGAAGAGGTATGGCACCAAGATTGATATGCAAAAAGTCATGGGAAGTGCCATAGCAACAAATGTAATTCAAATGGAAAGGGCAAGGAAGAGAAGAAGGGAAGATTATCTGCCTGAAGAACCCACCTCAACCCTTTTGCTTGTTGGGTCCAGTGATACAAAGTCTGATGATGTTGTTGTGTATGTGGAAAAAAGAAGAAAGGAAGCAGAGGTTGATAGGGTCAAATCAAAGGGGGTTCAGAAATCAACAAAGAAATCTCATGTAAAGAAAGTGAGTAAAAGGGCTACTGAGCAGTCAAAACCAATCAAGGTACCAGGTCCTCGTATTCAAAAGCCAGTAGAATAAAAGAGATGACCAGGGAAGCACGGATAGCAGAAATGGAGAACCAAAAGGTGCTAAGCGGTGGAGTCTTCGATCTTGATATTCTTATAGAACCTGGAATATCCACTTTCTTTGATTCAGTTTCCCTGCAAAGTTGGGATCATTTGTTTGAACCTCCAGCACCATACTTGTTTGAACCTGAAGTGCGTGAATTTTACTATAAGATGGAGCTTCTAGATGATAGAGGAATTAGGACTACATTTAATAATGTCAAAATCTATCTAGATGAGGAAACTCTGGGGATTATTCTGGGTGTGCCTGTGAGGGGGATCCGGTCCATTGAATGATGCAAACCCTCAAGTGAGTTCACTAAACATGCTACAAAGAGGGGGGACATTAAGCGAGCATGTTTGCCAAAGAAATTTTTGAAGGGGGAATACCAGCTATTCTTTGAGTTCATCAATAAGGTATTGGTACCAAGGACAGAGAAGCATACTGTAGCATCTGTTGTCAACCTATTTCTCATGGAAAAGCTGGATGAACTCGAGGAGATCAATCTTCTTGCTATAATGCTTGAACATATGCACAGGGTGATGACTTGGAAGTCAGTCAAACATGGCATCCCTTATGGCTACTCACTTAAACTATGTGTTCAAACATTTCGAAGTACCTCTTGGACGAGGAGTACCAGGTACCGTCAAGCAAATGTTTACTGTTATTACTCTTCTGGAGTGTGAATGTGTTGAAGGGAAAGCTAAAGGTAGGTCTCAAGTAGCGGATCTTCTAGAGCAGCAAGCCTCTCTCAAACGAGAGTTGACTAACTTCACTGTGATCTTGAATGATAAGGAGGTTGAGATTTCACAACTGAAATCTAAGTTGTAGAAGTCTGTCTCGAAGGGACCCGGTACCAGTGATGTAGACGAGCAAGTGGTGCAGAAGTTGAGAGCTGAGAATGAGCAACTACTAAAGAAAAATGTCTCACTCAGTGAGGAAGTCAAAGCTCTCAACAAACAAGTCATCAGGCTCATGAGGCTGCAAATGAGTGGATGTCCTTGCTAATGCGAACCCTTACTCCTCTTCCCCCTCCGTCCTAAATAAGTCTAGTCTCCCCAGTTTCTTCATCCTCGTGTCAAAACTCTAGTGGCTATGTGTACTGTTCTAGCTGATTCATGTGGTCAGCTTTTGTGATCTAATGATGTTTTCTATTGTGCCCTGTTTAATATGTTTTGATATTCTCTTTCATGCTTACATGTACATGTTCTGTGTGGCCCATGGCCCTGATTTCTTAAATGTTTTGCATGCAACTCGCATATGTTTACTGCTATTCCTTTTCAATGATGTCAAAAGGGGGAAATTAAGGTGAACTGTTGTGAAATTAGAGAAGGGAACTGAACTAAGGGGGAAGAACAGTGATAGGGGGAATTAATGTATTTTTAAATGAATATTTAACACTCAAATGAGGCTGCTTGTAGGTTGTTTGTCATCATCAAAAAGGGGGAAATTGATAAGTCTTAATGCTCCCAGATGTTTTGATGATCTCCTCACAAGTGCAGGGACCCGGTCCTCTGCAGAGTATGCTCGTCCAGGACCATATGTTATACAGCTGGAAAGCTGTCCGCGTCAGAAGTTGGTGAGGTTGTCAGAGTACTACACCAACCAGAAGGGATAAGGTTGTTTGGCCAATGGGTATTAACTCTTGATGTTTGATATATTCAAGACAACAAACAAACAAATTAAATTCATTCATTCAAAGAAGAGATATTCAAGCTTCAAAACAGCAAGGGACCTAAATAAGATTGTATTATTGCTTCCTGAATCAGTTGTTACTTTGATTGCTTGTATTTGTGCGTATATTGTAGGAATCGTTTCGCTTGTGATAGAAACATTTCAAACTTGGGTGAATCATTGTAAGAACTTAGTTGTGGGCAACTTAGTGTCTTACTTCAAAGTCTATATTAATCAGTTGGGTTAGTATAGTGGGAAATATAGGCATTGCTTTGGCTCATTGAGTGATAGTGCATTACTCAGGATAGAGATTAGTAGGTTAATCTCGTGTGTGTAGTAAACTGAGTTTTACTTTGGCTTGTAAAGTATAGTAAAAGCAGTTTGAAAAGTCATGTGAGAACAAGTCGTGGTTTTACTCCCTTGAGCAAGGAGGTTTCCACGTAAAGTTATGTGTACCATCTTTACTTTCAGTACTTATTTGCTTTCTGTTATTGTAATCGTGTTAAGGACCTAGTCCTATCGTAACTACGTGGACGCATACATTCCAACAAATAGGACCGTCACATAGTTTAGGTATGTAACTGACAATTTCTCCATAGTTCAGGGGAGTTCTTATGTCTTATCCCTTCCCTTTATCTATTTAAATTACCACTCTATTTGTATTAAAACACGCATTGATGCTAAGTTGGACAAATATTGTTCCAACTAGACTACAGGCTCATGTAGGCCAACTTTAAATTGATTCCTTTTTGTTTTGTTTACTTTTTAAGTTGGGGTTTCTTGATGAATTTCGACTTTATGCCACAACTATCATTGAGCTGCACCTGATCTAAACTGCAGCTAAATTCATGGATAAAAGGATTATCAAACAATAATTACTAAGATAATGTTACTTCATAAGAGAAAATGAGTTCCCTCCCAAAAAACAACGGAGGGTTAAAACTCTATGGAACTTGTAAAAAATTATTGTTTGTTCATCACTTTTGTTTGTTGTACATGGTAACATGGAAGACATATTACATATTACATAAACATGTCATTTAACTTGGCTTCAACTAACATCTATGCCCTCCAACTTTGAATGTGCACAAATAGATACTTAAACTTGTATAAAATTAATTGAACAAGTAGACACACACATCCTAGGTGACATAATACACATAAGACGCCACATAGGATGAAAATTGGCCACGTAGGACGTCACATAGGACACATATGTCTACTTGTTCCATTTTATACAAGTTCAAGTGCTTACTTGTGCACACCTAAAATTAGAGGGCATATATACAAGCTGAAGCCAAGTTAAATGGCATGTTTATTTATTATGCCAACATGGAATTAATGACCACCCTACTCTTGGATGTTATGTTCCAGTGTTTTCTATTAAGTTGTTGTGAAGAAATTGACAAATGTTGGGGGAATGTAGATATAGGAAAATACATAAATACTCTCAATGAAAAGGACAAGATGTATTCAGTTGACACAATTCTCTAGAAACTTTCAAAATACAGTTTAAATGACCAAACAATTGCAAAGGTAAAAACAATGAATAAAGAATTGCAAATTTAGATGTCATGCCTTCAAGGCTTCAACTCATAATATGAGAACCAATTTGGTTATATATGTTGAGCTGTAGTAGGACTTCCTTGAAACATGTTGTACATGAAAGATGAAACTTTAATAATATGGAGGTGGTGGTGATGGAGAAGGTGATGGTTTCTTGAAGTAGTCATTTTTTGGCAAAGACGACACCTTGTATTCTTGTTTAGGCATGGAGGGTATTTTTGGAACAAATGATACCTTTTTGTAGTTATCTTCTGAAACTGATGGCTTCTTGTAGTAGTCATTCTTTGGCAAAGAAGGCACCTTGTATTCATGTTTAGGCACTGAGGGCACCTTTGGAACATATGACACCGTCTTGTAGTTATCTTTTGGAACTGATTGTTTATTAAAGTAGTCATTTTTTGGCAATGTTGGCACCTTGTATTCTGGTTTGGTCACTACGGGTACCTCTAGAACATATGTCACCTTCTTATAGTTATCTTCTGGAACTGATAACTTCTTAGAATAGTCATTCTTTGGAAAAGAAGGCACTTTGTATTCTTCTTTAGGCTCATAGGGCATCTTTGGAACATATGCCACCTTGTAGGAATCTTCTAAAACTGATGGCTTCCTGTAGTAGTCATTCTTTGACGAAGAAGACACCTTGTATTCCTGATTAGGCACTGAGGGCACCTTTGGAATATACGACACCTTTTTGTGGTTATCTTCTGAAACTGATGGTTTCTTGTAGTAGTAGTCATTCTTTGGCAAATAAGACACCTTATAGTCTTCTTTAGGTATTGAGGGAACCTTTGGAACATATGACATCTTTTTATAGTTATCTTGTGGAATTGACGGCTTCTTGTAGTAGTAATTCTTTGATAAAGATGGAACCTTGTATTCTTGTTTAGGCATTGAGGTTACCTCTGGAACAGATGACACCTTCTTGTAGTTTTCTTCTGGTGGAACTGGTGACTTCTTGTAGTAGTCATTCTTTGGCAAGGATGACACCTTGTATTCCTGTGTAGGTACTGAGGGTACCTCTGGAACAGATGACACCTTCTTGTAGTTTTCTTCTAGAACTGACGACTTCTTGTAGTAGTCATTCTCCGGTAAGGATGACACCTTGTATTCTTGTTTAGGCATTGAGGGCACCTTGTATTCATGTTCAACAACTGAGGGTACTTTCCTGTAGTTATCTTCTGTAACTGATGGCTTCTTGTAGTTATCATTCTTCGGCAAAGATGGCACATTATATTCCTTTTCCGATTCTAAGGGTACCTTGTAGTCTTCACTTTTGGCTATTGTGGTTTGTACTTTATTGTATGTTGAATCTGATGATTCATAAGAATAAGGTGAATATGCCATAGTGCATGTGGCAATCAAGAAAAATGTCAAAGCACAAGCAAGTTGAGGCCATTGCTTCTTCATTTGACTTCCCATTGAGAAAATTGGATTCTAAATGTTTTTTTTTTTTCATTTTCTTGTGTGTTTTAGAATGGAGGAACTATGAGTTTATATAGCTTAATTAAGATGGTGACTTGCTGTTTGGATGCTCTCAAAAATAATCCAAACATATCAGAGATTTTCCCCTTTTTTTGGTTAATGCTTCCACTAAGGTCTTTTTGTTGGCACATTGAAAATTTGATTAAATAAATTTTTGAAAGTTGAGATGTGTGTCGGCCTAACAAATATTAACCATTAGGTACATCTACTTTTGATGCTTTGAGCACGACTTACAAGTTATAATTCACATCATTATGTGTTTGATTAGGTTTTGATACAAACAAGAAAATAAATGGAAGTTATTGTTTCTAATTACATAAATTTAAATTGTTTATTTAATTTGACAGTCTGTGTTACTCGTAATTTATTGATTCAAGTTAATCTAAATTTATCATCATGTATGATCCATTTTAATTGGAGAGTTCTCTATGAGAGATTACTCCATTCCCTTAGGACTGAGCCTTAAGTACCATCAAATAATTGACTCAATCAAATTTTCTTAACGATTATTTTTGTTTTTTTCTCATAATATCTTAATAGTACTGGCATTAGAATATATATTTTATATAATTTAAAAAAAATTCTACTTGAAGGCCAAAACTTCTGCAAAATAGATAAAAAGAGAATACCGGGGTGTTGCGATTAGACAAACCTACGTAAAATGTACCTAAACTGCCGCTAAATCCTACAAACCATCGCTAAATTAATAAATCGCCATTAAATACACCTAAACGACTCTTAAATTCACATAATTAATTGCCACTAATTAATTCACCTAAACCGCCGCGAAAGACATGCATGTAAACTAGAGCTGTCAATCCAACTCATACAGGCTTTGAAATTTTACGGGACAGACTAGGCTAGCCCATTTTTTTTGTGGGCCTGAAAACAGTCAACCCAACCCACAAGTACGTGGGCTACGGGTTGTGCCGTGTTAACCCACTTTTTAAAAAAAATATATTTTTTATAATTTTTTAAATCAAATTATAATTTAAAAATATTATCATAAATATCGGCAAGACAAAATTACATGGTATATAAAATTATCTTTATAATATTTATTAAGTTTGATTTCAAGTAAAAATATAAATAGCTAAATAGAAATATTAACCTAATTGTTTTCTAATGATCATAATAAAACACATAAAAAATATGACAATATAATATAGGCTACAACTTACGTAGTGATTCCCTAGAAATTTTAGGAAAATTTTATTTTATGTAGTACATATTTTATAAACATAATTTGTTTTAAAATTTTAATATTTAAAACTTTAATTAGATTTTGAGTTTGAACTCTTGTTATTTTTAATACTTTATTTTATTTTTATTTTTTAATTAATTTTTTATTTGGCCCACAGGCCGGTCCTACCCATATTTCTCAAACCCCACAAATTAGCAAACTTATTCAGACCAAGCTAAAAAACTTTTTTCTTGAATGGACTCCAAAAATCTTAAAACAACCCTATCAAAACATGAGTTAGGTCAGGCAGACCCAACGGGCCTAGCCCATATTGACGGCTCTAATATAAACCCACCCCTAAATAAACGTAGAATGCACCAATAGCTGCCGCTAAATGAACATAAATTGCCACTAAAACTTTAATATCCAAAGGGGTAATTCAATTAATCGCTGCTAAATGCACCTAAATATATATATATATTGCCTCTAAATGCTTTAATATATGAAGGGGTTATGAAAAATCCGTAACATTTTATCGTAAACAAAGTAATATTGTAATAATTGAGAAATAGAATAGTGTTTAGTTAATTGTAGCATATTTTCTTATGTGACTATTCTCATTTATATTCGATTATCATAAACCAACATTATTATTCTTATATTTACTTTTTTTTATTTCCCTTTCACTATTTTTATTCTCTCATTATTGATTATTCTAAAGTCTTTCAAATAGTCAAACATTCTACATTATGTAAATTTTATTGTTGTGTGTTTATAAAAAGATCAAATTTGTTTTTTGTTGTCTTCTTCAAATTTCAAGAACTAAAACTAAACACTATTTTAATATCATTATAGCAACTTATCAAATTCAGCGTAACACTATTTCGATATCATTATATAAACTTTTCAAATTTTTGAGTCACATTTTCTTATTCCAACTTTGTCTGCGGCTTCATTTTATCTGACTAAAATTATTCACTACTTGGTTCACTTTAATTCTTTTATCTCCCATGAATTGTATGTTCCAGTGTTTTGTTATTAACATTAAGTATTACAAATTCACAATTGCTGGAAGAATAGATGAAACCACATAAACTCTCAATAAAAAGAACTGTGATATCATGCCTTCTAACACATAATAATCAAGGGATCGGAAAAAGCTTAAAAATCCTACTAAACTTTGAGAAAAGACTTATTTATACCATCCATTAGAAGTTTGGCTCATCTATATCATTTCCATTTGAGAAAGGTTCATCAACGCCATTATTTGTTAACTGAAATGGCATAGATGAGATAAACTTTTAACAGATGACATAGATGAGCCTTTTGTCAAAGTTCGATGGCATAGTTGAGCCTTTTTCCTTTTAAAAAATGATTTAATTAATGACATGGCAGAATCATAATTAACCACATGAAAAAAAATAGTTTTGCAAATTTGGAATTGTTTTTAGTTGACAAATAATGACACAGATGAGCCTTTTTCAAACGAAAATGACATAGATGAGCTAATGTCTTAATGGACAGCACAGATGAGCCTATTTTCAAAGTTTGATGACATATTTGAGTTTTTTCTCAATAATCAATTGTACAATTTTGTGTAAACATTAAAAATACAATATAATTTAATTAAATGACAATACAATTGCAACCCAAGCTAAGGTAGGAGAAGGCGAAAAAACAACAAATAAAGTTTACGAATGTAGATATCATGCCTTAAGTCATAATATGAGAACCGTTTTGGTTATATACGTTGAGCTGAAGGACTTCCTTGAAACATGTTGAACATCTGAAAGATGAAAATTTAATAATATGGAGGTGGTGGTGATGGGGAAGGAGTTGAAGATGATTCATGGTAGTAAGGGGGTGGTGGTGATGGAGAAGGTGATGGTTTCTTGAAGTAGTCATTTTTTGGCAAAGACGGCACCTTGTATTCTTGTTTAGGCACTGAGGGTATCTCTGGAACAAACGACACCTTCTTATAGTTATCTTCTGGAACTGATGGTTTGTTGTAATAGTCATTCTTTGGCAAAGCAGGCAACTTGTATTCTTGTTTAGGTATTGAGGGTACCTTGTAGTCGTTATCTTTTGAACCTGATGACACCTTCTTATAGTTATCTTCTGAAACTGATGGCTTCTTATAGTAGTCATTCTTTGGCAAAGAAGACTCTTTGTATTCCTGTGTAGGCACTGCGTGTACCTCTGGAACAGATGACACCTTCTTGTAGTTATTTTCTGGAACCGATGGTTTGTTATAATAGTCATTCTTTGGCAAAGAAGGCAACTTGTATTCTTGTTTAGGTACTGAAGCTACCTTGTAGTAATTATCTTTTGAAACTGATGGCGCCTTCTTATAGTTATCTTCTTATAGTTTAATCTTATATATACTTAACGGTATAGAGATAATTGAATTAAGAAGAATCATATGGGAAAAAATATTTGACTACGAATCAGTAGATATATTAAATTAGGAATGGAATGAAATAAATTTACAAGATCTATATTTAGATAATGAAAGAATAGAATGGTACGATTTAGAAATAAATTCAGATTAAAATGAATTACGAATATTTACAATATTGGATAGAAGCTATGGAAGATATAAAATTATTAGAACAATTAATGGCGGAAAATTTATATATGTATCAAAGAACCCAAGATATGTTATATCTAGAATATATCATAAATAATATTAAAAAATATTCAGATTAAAACAACTATCGGAAGAATATTACAATAAATATTACTACATATTACCATGAATTTAACACTACCAAAAAATAATATTAAAGAGATATCAAGATTAAGACACTTAGTAAAAAGATATTATAATAAAATCTTTAAAATAAGTTATTCACCTACCACACTACCACTTACCACACTACTACTCCTATGACTTCCCCAACTACCAGTTCCGCACCGAAAAATGGTATGGCTTCTTATAGTAGTCATTCTTTGGCGAGGAAGGCACTTTGTATTCTTGTTTAGGCACTGAGGGTACCTCTGGAACAAACGACACCTTCTTATAGCTATCTTCTGGAACTGATGGCTTCTTATAGTAGTCATTCTTTGGCAAAGAAGGCACTTTGTATTCCTGTTTAGGCACTGATGGTACCTCTGGAACAAATGACACCTTCTTATAGCTATCTCCTGGAACTGTTGGCTTCTTATAGTAGTCATTCTTTGGCAAAGAAGGCACCGTGTATTCATGTTTAGGCACTGAGGGCACTGAGGGTGCCTCTGGAACATATGGCACCTTCTTATAGTTATCTTCTGGAACTGATGGTTTCTCGTAGTAGTCATTCTTTGACAAAGATGGCGCCTTATATTCCTTTTTAGGCACTGAAGGTACCTTGAATTCTTCACTTTTAGCTACTATGGTTGGTACTTTATTGTATGTTGTATATGTTGATTCATAAGAATAAGGTGAGTATGCCATAGTAGAAGTCGCAATCAAGAAAAATGTCAAAGCACAAGCAAATTGAGGCCATTGCTTCTTCATTTGGCTACCCATTGAGAATATTTGAATTCTAAGTCTAGATGGTTATGTTTTTCTTTTTCTTGTGTATTTTAGATTGGAGGAAATAGGAGTTTATATAGCTGAACTAAGATGATTTGAATGCTCTTAAAATAATCCAAACATATTAGAGAATTTCCCATTTTCTTTGTTAATGCTATTCCACTAAGGTCATGATATAATGGGAAGCCATGAACAATCTTTTATTGACTTCCAAGAATGTTGTACGTGTTCTCTTTT